GGGGCCCGGGGGGGCTTGGTGGTCCCTTTCTGTCCCAGCTTCGGGGCCTGTCCTCTGGCAGGATCCGCCTGGCGCGGTGGCTGCTTGCGCCACAGCTTCTCGGGGGCTAACTGGGGGCAAGAGAGGGGTGGAAGCCCAGCCAGGCAGCACCTCAGCCCCCAGCCCTGCCGCTGCGGGGTTAGCAGCCCCCTGCTCACCTTGAAGCTGCCGGTGGCCCCTATGGCGGAGGAGTTGTGGGGCCGCACCAGGACCCCACAGCTCAGCCCCTTGCTCAGCGCCTGCTTCAGGAGGTACTTGAGGCGGATGGGATCCACGGTGGGGTACTTGGCCAAGATGAACTGCTTGATGGCGACGACAGAGCTGCCCTTGCTCTTGCCCTGGGCCCGCAGTGCCTCAATGACCATGTGCAGGGTGGGGGGGTGCGGGGACCGCCGGCCCCGGGACAGCAGACCCTGGAACTGGGCTGTGTCGGTGGCTTCTGCTGCTGGGAGAGGCAACAGGAACCTCTTGGGACCCTGAGGCACTCACAGCCCCAGGGGCTGCAAAGCCCCCCCAGAAGCCAAGCAGCCATGGTCCTGCTCATCCCCACAGGGACCACAGCCACCAGAGCCCAGGCAGAGCCTGAGCCTGAGCCCCAGCCCCGCTGGGACCCTGGAGACCCCTTACCCGGCTGAGGCTCCATAGCAGCATGCAGACACCTGCCCAATCCCACCAGCCAAAAGCCTCAGGCCCAGCCAGCCCCAGCTCTGCTCACAGCACCACTGCCCTTGCTCACAGGCTCAGTTCCCTTCCAGCGAATTTATCTGATGAGCACCCTCACAGCAGGGGCTGGTTAGCAGCTGCTAATTGCTCCAGTTGCAGCCCCAGGTGGGAGCAGGAGCCTGGGACGAGTGCCCTTTGCCAAAGGTTTGCAAGGGGCTGGAGGGAGAAGGGCACCTCTGAGCAGAGGGTTTGGAGAGGGGCAGCTCTGAGCAGAGCATTTGGAGAGGGGCGAGAGGTGCGGCAGTCGCAGGGTGGTGGCCCTCAGCACCCAGGGCCGAGGCACCTGCCCCCTGCTTGCTGGGATCACCGCTTGCTGGCAGCACTCGCCATGGGGTGGACGGGGAGCCAGCCCGCGGCGTGGGGCCCGTGGGGGTCCCATTCCCGGGGCACTGGTGTGATGTGCTGGCCCCCTGCGCCTGGGACAGCCCCACTGGGAAGTGGGGGCTGCACTGCCAGGGGATCCTGATAATGGGGGCTGAGGGAGGGGGGAAACAATCCGGCGAGCGAGAGGAAGAAAATGGAGAGCTGCTTTGCTGGCCAGCGAGGGCAGGAGGAGCGCCCCTCCCATGGTAGCCCCCGGTGTGCGCTCGCGAGCAGGACCCCCACGTGCCCCTGCCTGCTGGCCCTGCTTGGGGAGAGCACTCCCACCCCAGCCCCACACACCCCAGCCCCTCCGTGTCCTCTTCGTGTCCCCTCTGCGCCGGCTCCTGGTGCAGCAACCGCCCCACGCCGAGGACAGCATCACCCCATGGGCCAGGCATGAGCTGAGCCCTCGGCCATCCGGCGTCCCTGAGAGAGGCCCCCAGGGCACTTCAGTGTCATGGCAGTGATAAAGTAATCCTGTGATCCTGTGGACACCTTCCCCGCTGTTCCTGCGGGGTAGGGTATCGGTGCTGCTTTCTGTCCTGCCTGTGCTCGCGAGGCGAGCCTGAGTAATTCACCAACTGCTCTTAGGTGCAGGAATGGCGTGGGTGTCCCCACCTCGGGGACTGCTATGTCCCTTCCTCTTTACGCAAGAGTCACGGGGCTTTCGTAGGCATCGTCTGTCAAAGCTGTGGGGGAGCTGCAAGCCTGAGGAAAGGCCGGGATTACGTGAGAGCAGGGCTGGTTCACGCCCACGTGGGGGAGCTGCAAGCCTGAGGAAAGGCTGGGATTACGTGAGAGCAGGGCTGGTTCACGCCCAACTCCGCAGACGTGTAACCACACCACTTGACATGCAAAGCGCTGCCTAGAAAGACCTTTGTCAAGGTCTGCACCCACCTGCCAGACCCTGGCAGGGGACCAAGGTGACAACAGGAGCCAGGTCTGGAGCAAGGAGGAGCTGGGAGAGGCCTGGGCCCTGCATGCCCAGCTCCCCCCAGACCAGCACCACCAGCCCGTTCCCAGCTCCATTTCCAGTCCATTTCCAAATTCCCCGGGAAGGGGCCAGCGGGGACGCTGGGTGGCTGCAGGGGCTGGCACCACAGCAGGGCTGGGTGAATCTCATCCAACCATCTCCTCCTCCCGGGTCTGGCCATCACCTCTCCGACAGCTCTGTGATGCCTCCGGCACCTGCCTGGGGGCCCCAAACCCTCGCTTCCCCCTACCACCGCCGGCAGCAGCCGCAGGGCTTGGCATTGCGTGGGGCGACAGCCTGTGGGCTCAGGCCAAGACATCACCAGCGTGCGCCAGGGCGGGTCCGTGGCGGCAGGAAAGCTGCAGCACCAAGCATCGCTCGGCTCCCGTGGAGCACAGCCTCATAGACAGCAGATAAACACCAAATCCTTCCTCCTCTTCCCTCCAAAACCAGCTCCCAGATTTGAAGTACATGAATCAGACGTCAGCCTAAACACTGAATTATTCATAAGCCTCTAATCTTTAGATTTCACTGAATATGCAGAAGTATCGATAAAAAAAAATAATGAGAGAATTGTACTTGCAAATTGCTCTTTATTAAAGGTTTAACTTGCGTGGGTTCTATACGTTCCCTATTAGACCTTGCAAAGCTGCATAGGATTAGAAATCAGAGAGGATAATAATGTACAAAAATAGTTTCAAATGTTGATAACACTGAACAGCGAGAAAAACATCTTATTTGTATAACTGAGCTAAAAATAAAAATGAAGAACACTGCTACAATTGCAATATGCCATCTTGTAGTGCTTAAAACATATGTCGACGTCTCTGAGCCATATGCTCCCATGTCTTGCCTGCTACAGCACGGAGGGAAGCTGAGCGATGCGCCGATCAATCCTCAAAAGCACAAGCACTGGCCAAAACCTCCTACTTGGGCTGACGCCAAACTGACTGCAGCTGACACGGGGAGGTGCGCGGGAGGGCCGGGAGCAGCGTGGCGCGGGGCACGGCCCCGGGCGGCAGGGGGCCCGAAGATGCCTGAGGATGAAGGGCGGTACTGCGGGAGGGGGTGCTGCCTGCTGGGGGGACGCCGAGCGGGTGCAGCTGAGGGTGCAAACACCGTGAGCGTGCTGCTGCGCTGGGTGCCTGCAGGAGCGGGCACCGAGCCCTCCCCGAGCTCATCTGGCACATGGCGGTGCTGTGCCATGCCATGCCATGCCATGCCATGCCATGCCGTGCCATGCCGTGCCGTCAGGTCCCCTCCATGCCACCTGCTTGCTGGGCAGGATCCAAAGCCGTCACCTCTGCGGCATGGAGGGGCCCATCTGCATTGGTGCCCCGTCCCGTCCCTGCTGGAGGGGTCTCGGTGCCTCTCGGGGCTTCTGGCATGCTGGAGGTGGGGCAGGGCTGGAGCTGGGAGCACCCTGGGGCTGGGGGCACCCTGGGGCTGGGGGCACCTCCCAGCA